CGCACGGGGAGTAATGTGTTAAACGAAGATGGAACTACAAATTTCAAAGGCGTCTGCTATAGTTATGCGACCGTCTGCCGCGTTTTTCATGGTTTTCCCAAATTCTACATTCAAAGAGCTTTATTTTAAGCTATAATTCGAGCGTGTACCTTATGACGAGCTATTTAACAATTCGAATGTTTTTAAACGCGTCTTCTCGAGAAAGTTGCCCAGATAAACATAAATCGTCTGCCGCTGCAACTATGAATTTGGTGCACATTTCCGAATCAGATTGCAAAAAATCATACGTGTACCAGTGACGAGGAATTATGTGATTTGGAACAGTTTTCAAAATTCGCCCCCCACGCTAAGTTGACCGCCGCGGGCCGGCAGACGGGCGATTTTGGAATCACACGCTGACATTCTACTGCCTAGTTACATCAAACCTTTTGTACCCTATGACGAGGTACTTTCTACGCGGGCTCTCGGTCTACCATGGTCATGGTGACAGATTTAATGCGATAGCAAATTCGATTCAACCCCATGCTTTCAAAGTCTTCGCTACGCGAATGTAACCCTGGTGCGCTATACATGTATAGTGGGATTGAAATAGAAAAATTGAATAAATAATAATAAAGAAAAAAGGTGATGCGCGTATTGGAATTAAAATCAATCCCTTTGATGCACGTTACATAAAAGGGTTGAGTGACCTCAAGCTTATTGCATTGCAGGTTGGCAGGTAATTACGCATAGGGTTGCAGCAAGAGGGGCGCCATGCAATTATCGTTATTTTATGTGGTGATAAGAAGAAAGTCAATTATAGGGGCAAATTTTTGTGTATTTTTACTTTCGTAAATTAGATTGGTGCAATTGGTTTTAATTGGTGAACAAAGCGAACGCAAGGACAAAGAATACAATTTGGAACGCTTACTAAATCGAAAACGGAAAGGAAGATATTTATACATATTACTCCATGCATATTTTAAAACATTTTATATTTTCGAATGTTACCGATGATAACGATTATTACTGATCAATATCTAGTTTCATATGAGCACAATAGGTGCATGCAATGAAGTTCAATGAACTGTAATTTGGCCCTTTCTTTGTATTTGCTGAACTTTTAACGTATTTAGATTTAGATCTGTTATTGTCATTTTCGTACATTAAGCCCAATTCAAGATTCTACGAAAAACGAATCCCGCAATCGCGCCGATTTAGATTTTCTAAGGGAGGTCAATTGCAGCAGTTTTACTAATTGACCCTTCTTGATGTTCACTTCACCTAACGTGTTTGTTCATTAAGCCGTTATTCAAATGTACCACTTAACTTTGCGTAGGCAACCGTGTCTTGACAATTGTTTTTATTGCTTAATAGTCTGTCGATTTTTAGAAACAAAAGAGAAAGTTACGAATTTTTTTTGTAATTAATTTTATTTTAGTACCTGCAATTGCTCGCGTACGTTTTGAGGCGTAACGAAGCTACATTTACGAAATTAGTTTTATTAGCATAGGAAGTGGAAGTCGCACAGAAGAAACACATGATAAAGCTTCACGTAAATGGGCTAAAGAAATTACTAGGTTACATGGATGTAATAAAAACAATATAAGGTGTACAAAATCGATAGATAATTGCTACTTGAGTACTCGCCACCGCATTATTTGTCATTTTTATACGTACACAATATCATGTAGTTAGTAGGTACCTTGGGAATTTGTGAGATTATACGAGGAGAAAACCGCCTTGAAATTATGACCCCTCATGCACAAAAAGAATGGGATTGCATGGAAGTAAGTGTATTAAATTGAATCTTATAAATATTCGATAAATAAGCAATGTGGAACGACCATTGTAGTTCATTCCACAGTATCAATCTTGGGTTTGAATTGAAATGATGCCCCGTATTATTCGTATAGGAGTTTTTGTTCCCGAGAGAATGGTATTCTTAAGGGAACAAAAACTAGTTTAATCCAGTGTTGCTTATACTATTTTTTCCAATATCGACCGATTTAAATCCATTTTTCCATGAATTGTTTACAAAAAAAACCACTAGGGAATAAGGATTAAAATTACCTGTTAATGCACAAAAATTAGGGGTTAAATTCAATAAAACAATGTAGGTATTAGAAAAAAAAAAGTTTATTACAAGTTTCTTTACAATGATTGTTGAATAATCTGCCAATTTCAAAACGAGTATAGGAGAGTAAATGGACCTAACCTCATATTTTAAATGGAACACCCTGTATATTTTATTCTAAAAAGATTAGACTAAGGATCATATTCAAAAGAGATTCAAGTGGCCCAAAAAATTAAAAAAAAAGATTAAAACAGAATTAAAATTTAAAAAAGGTTCAAATACCACAGGTACAGGTACAGGTAATTCAGATAGTATGTGTGAATTCCTATTTGGGAGTTACAACTCATGATAAAGTTTTATCGATGAATCAAAATTGTTTATTACATCATTTATGATCATTTAAGAAGGGGGACCAGACTCACTTTCAGGGTGGTGGATTACGGGAATACATCCGATCAGGGGCGGATTTAGGCAGGGGCTTTAAGGGCTGCAGCGAAGCATCGTATACGTTTTCAGTATGGGAATTGTTTGATACTTAGCTCGCATTCGGAAACGCAATTTTAAATGCGACTCATATTCAAAAGCACTGATCCTTGAACTCGTAGGAACTCGTTGATTGGAGAAGGTTTGCGCTGTTTCTTTTGATGCTCGATTTAGACGAGGAACAGACGGACGGACAAAACCATCACATAAAGGAAATTTCTTTCAAAAAATTCCTTTAATACAGAGAGAAAACTCTACTATTCTATTTTCATGGAATGACCGTGCAGGCAATATTGTACGCTACCCACCCCAAGGTACGAGTAATTGGAGCGTGTATCAGATGAGATTCTACATTTAAATGTTCAATATTTTCCCCAGCCAACATTCGTTATCTCATTTGTTGAACTTGAAAATTTGCTTGCATTATAATTAATGCTGAATAGAACACCGCTGACGTTTTATTATTTAACAAACTTGGGCGCCATATTTTTTTGTGTTTCATTTATTTTTTTATTCTCTTTTTTTGTTTTTTTCTTTTTATTTTTTTCTATTCTACTGTTTTCTTATAATTTTTAATTTATTTGATTTATTATTTGTTTATCTTTATCATTTATAAATAAAAATATAATTGTTGCAATTAGTACCACTGGAAACTTGTTTTGTAATAAAAATGGTTAAAAAAATCAGTGGTTTTTCGCCCGCCGCTGTGTACAGATCGAGCTTCACTGTTTCTGTGTAATCTGTGCTTTTTGAAATTGGAACCCTACTGTATTTCAATATTTTTCATTGTAGGTATTTATACTTAGTGCGTTTGCTTTAGACCTGTAATTTTAATAATAGCATTCTGAAAAAATAATAAAATTGAAATGAAGATGTTTTTCGATAACCCGAAATTCATTAAGTAGGGGGCCCCCTACAAATATTAGCCCAGGGCCCCCTGAGGCTTCGGTCCGCCCCTGCATCCGATTGACTCCGTATTTTGCAATTCCCAGTTAGCGCATGAACTTATTAGCTTTATCAACAATTGATTTTGTGTACTTTTTTCGAAAAATTCCCCATATGTGATGGTTTTGTCCGCCTGTCTGTCTGTTCCTCGTCTAACTCAAGAACGAAAAGGCACAGCGATGTCAAACCTTCGTCAATTGATTTCTACTAATTCAAGGGTCAGTGCTATGGTATATGAGCCGGATCAAAAGTCTGGTTTCCTAATACGAGCGGGGTGACAAACAATTCTGCTACTGAAAAATCGTATGCGATTCTTCGTATCTTCTAATTTCCATTTGTTTTGAAACCGGAAGAAATACAAAAATAAATTACGTTAAACCATGGTATGCAAGCGAGTAACTTCGTAACGTCGTTGGAGACCTTCACAAGCACCTTTTTCAATAAAAGTTGAAGCTGAATTACCACTCGACATTCTACAATTTTACGAGCGTAGGCTTCCTGGGAGATAAAAATTGACCCATCGCTAAACTTTTGAATTTTCAATCCTAGGTAAAATTTTGCGTCACTGACTTGTACCAGGAAAGTTTCATTGACCACAGCAATACATTTTTCATCCATATGAAGTGTCATCAACATCATCAACGTTGCCATGAAGTTCACAAAGAGACAGGGATCATTTTCACTTTGAGTAAGGTCACATTTACTCAAAAAATTGGCAAACGTCTTATTCAACCCCCAAAATGATCTTCTTCGACCTCACCGTTATGAAACGAAATATAACCCTTTTGATTTTACCTCATGGGATCGATCGTCCAATCAACGTCTATTCGTAAAATGTGTACCTACCCCCAACTTGGATTTTATATCCGTATTTTTTATAATCTACACATCGTTGGATTCCATACGTAATTCTTTCATAAAAAACGCAATTACAAATTTCACGAAGCAATTATTACTTAATTAGGTTGCTTCAAATCAAAAATTTATTGTTTTAATTAATTGGGTGACAACCACATATCCCCATTGCTATGCCGTGAGTGCTTTCTTTAAGCAACCACAATAGATTAAGGTAACGCTTTGAATGGGAACAATAAACTGTTGTAGTTATACAAAAGGTACCTATTATTACTTTGAGAGTTCAAAGTCCAATTTTTCCTCATTGTCCCAATTTGAAATAGAAATTTGCTTTCGTATTCGATAAGTGAATTTAACTGCGAAACAAACACACCACAAAATTCGATTACTGTTCAATTTTAATAGGTTTCCGATCAAACACTTGACCCAAATTTTCCATTACTGTCACGGATTAAGACCAAACCGCTGATTTTGAAAAATAAATGTGTTTGTCGAATTATTTATTCCTCGCACGCGAAAGAAAACGTGATTACACCTACTACCTTGTAACAACTTTTCTATATTCGGATATCTTTGCAAGGTTTCACATTTTGGCCTTTCGAATACATAATGAAGGTACAAATTTCTCCGATTTTTCTCGCACGAATTAAAGAACACAAACCTCTAAATGTTCGCTGGGAACGACTTTCGTTAATGCGATAAAAGAACTTTTGTCAACTGCCAACCATATTCCTACCCCTAGGATGACGGAGCCGGCTACCTGCAAAGAGTAAATAGACGAGATTAAAGTACAGACAAAAACTGTTTTACATAGCGAAATGTCAATGACCATAACGCTATATGAAACACAAGATTTAATTAAAGTTCTTAAGTTGCTTCAAGTGATAAATAAGTAGGTGGAAAGCAGGAAGTAGTAGGAAGAGCCCAGAAAATTCCTAGTTATTAAAGGTTAGATAATTTAACTTCCTCCTAATTACTGTACCGCTCGGTACCGGAGGTAATTTATAGGTACGAGAAAGGTACACAGTTTTATTTTTATAACTTTGTTTTTTTATACTTACAAATATGATGAAATTGAAACAACATAGCAAATATTTTGCTATACACGCTCCACAATCGAAGACCATTTTTCCTTGAGTAATTTAGGTAAATAGGTAGTTGTTAACCTGCAACAATTAACATAATTAGACTTTATGACTTTAGTGTAATTTAAACTTATTAAATCATAACCTAATTTTTTGTTTTTTATATATTAATATCTTTATAGCCGAGTCAAACTGGATCCAAATTTATGTTTTGTGTCAGATCCGAACTCATGAACAATTGCCTTGGAAATATGTGGCAACAAATTGTCATAAATGTTTGAATTGCAATAATTTTGTCTACAAAAATAAACTCATTAAATTTTACTTTTAAATATTCAGTACTCTCATCGGAGCACTAATTAATGAATTTTTTGTAACACCACGGACCTTGACTGGTTTCAATGATTTTCTGACAAATACCTACATACCCGCTTTCCTCAAGCTCATCACACGGCCTAAAATGGGAAAACCGCGCTACTCGCCCCGGTGCCTGAATCGAATTTATACCTACATGACCTAGGTACAGATGAAGAAACAGACTGTGCAAATGTGAATTGCCTCGAGTTTAGTTCCCTCCACTGACACCATTTCTACGTGTTTTTTCCTATCTCTGTTAGTGAAATAAATCAATTTCGCCCTCGATTTCTCCCTCAAGTGCTCTTGGAGCCATTTTAAATGCGAATAGGTTTGAAAAATTCCAAATATTCTTCAAAACTTGTAAAAAAGAGGGATTAAAAGAATGTAACAATTTATTAAGTAAATCTGGGGGATTATTTACAAATTGTATGAATTGGTTCGTTTCATTTGAATTTGTATTTCAGTGCGTTTTTTTCTTCTTAGACATTTGTTAATTTTTCGTTTCAATTTGTTAGAAGTAAGACACATCGGGTCGTTTGCGATAAGGAGTTTTATTATCAGGCAAAAATTAATTAACGCACGGTGGTGCTGATAAGGAGATGTAGATTTTCCGTTCCGTTGCAGTTCGTGAGTTTATTTGACTGGTGTTTCTTTAAATATCAGAGACAACGAAAAAACGAAGCTGCTGCGGCTGTTGGTTCCGCACCGGTTCAAAAGCGTGTACATCTGTCTACACTAATTTGCGTGCAGTCAGCCCTATTTGTTTTGTTCAAGACGCAGTTCGCCGCTTTCGAAATAAAGTGTGCAAAAAATTTAAGTTATCGTCAAATGAAGTACTTAGTACAAGTTTGAGGAACGTTTTTAAAACGGTTTGTTCGTATTAAGAAAAAAGGTAGTAAACAAAGCAGTTGTCTGTCTAAAAAGTCTTTCATTAAAAGTGAAAAGTGTCTACCGTCCGAAGAGCCATCGAAATTTATTTATCAAGTCAGTTCGAGTCTTTGAGTTCACTTTAATAAAGAAAAAGTAGTTCCCTGTAGCTGTCAGCGAGTGTTTTTGATAAGGGCGTCTGAATATCGCAAACCTTTTACGACCAGATTATTTAGATGAGCAAGAGATTGACTTGTCGACCGCTTGCGTGCGGGGTAATATGGCCAACTAAGGTTTATAAGCTTTTCTTTCTGTCAGGGATTTTGCTTTAATTTTTTAGCGCATTTTTGCAAAAATTTTTTTTGTAAAAGTAGCTTTTAATACTCACTTTGGCTGGCTGGCTGGCCAGTAAATGCGCGCCCGTAAGAAAACGCTTGTTAAAAAGACAAGGAGTGTACATGTAACTATCGGGGCCGTGTAATTAAGAACGTTAGGGATGGGGCTACAAGATTTGGAGTCGACGACATCTGGACGCCATCCCCGAGCGTATTATACATACATGGAGATTTTTCAGTTTTTATCTATCTTCTTCTACAGTTTTCTCTCCGATTGTTTTCAAAATTGGTGTCGTCGGGAAGACTTGTCAACGCGCACAACTCCTGCGTGGCGGAAATTTTGTTTTTTTTTTCCTAGGGGCGAAAAATAAACCACCTTTTGCGCGGCGCGCTTCGAGGGGTAGTCGACTTTGGGCGCCCAAAGTTTCTTACAGCGCGAAATCGCGGTCTCTCTTTCTCGTGTCACTAATAGAAGGTCGAGCTATGTGAAGTACCCAAAAGTTGAATACGATTTTATGCCGGGAAATTTTAGCGAAATCTAACCAAAATGTGAATTACGAATGAACGGGACGTCGGAACTGTGTATCGACAAAGGGAATGTGGTAACCCCCGACGAGATCTTTACTGATGGTGGAGTCGAAACTTCAAACGCGAATTGCGAGTGCACGGTAAGTGAGAAAATGGTACCGACAAAGTGAACGTGGTAGCATTCGGCAAGATCTTATTGATGGTGGAGTCAATATTGGCTAATAAAACACTGATCTGCCACACAAAAATGCGCTGAGTCCCTTCGATCTCACACGAGGACTTTGATCATTTTTTTTTGTACGTTTCGGAATAAATTTTTGTCTTCATGGCAGATTTTTTTCTATTCGTGCCCAAGATTTATTTCAGGTGACGATAAAAATTTGTGTAATAAATTCTGAAATATTGAATATATCTTCCTCGATATCTTCAAATCAACATTTTTTTAAAGAAGCTTTTTTTGACACGTATCCAAAATTATAAAAAGTTTGCTAACAATCTATGTACTTTACTACGTACGTCAGTGCAGTGGCGTACTTCTGCATGGACAGGGGGGGGGGCAAAATTTTTAATAATCACTACTCGTTTTCATTACATATAAAGAGTACAGTCCCTTGACTATAGCAGCATAAAAAGTATGCCTTTTAAGAGTATGTAATAAAAAATACTGGTACCTAAAAATATGCCTCCTTGGCCAGACCGAAGTAATCCAGTGACCACAAAGTACGTAGACTGGTAGCAAACTTGTTTATTATTCATACTTTTGTTTAGATTTTAAGTTAGGTTTGAAAACCATAACGGGAATTTAAAATTTAGTTGTGTACTACCATAGAATAGTTGAATTTGTACAGTGTACTATTTGGTTGAGATTGCAGTATTTTTAAAGCTGTTTTTAAAGATAGAGACTTGCGGTTTTCGCGTCCATGTGCCACATTTTTGTGCACTATCCTGTTGAAACCAACAGCTTTCAACTTCTGTTTTTTTTTGGCCGTATATCGTTGTATTCGTAGTAAAACATGCTACTCAATACAGTGTGTTCTTTTTTTACGGACCATATCAAAAAATAAAGTCTCTCAACGCTATTTTTTAGAGCTCAAAAGTGGCAATGAGAAAGTGTTTTTTGCAACTGTTCAAATAACATTAAAAAAATACAAACTAAATCGGCAAATTTAGGTTGTTCTGGAATATTTTCGGAAGTAATCGGAATATGATAATAACTCTTTAATTGCACAGCTTTTCTCTAATTTGACCATCGTCGTATCTTCTATGGTTTCGTAGATACCCATGATAGACCTCCTTATCTTGTACACAATGTATACTATACGGGGAATTTTTTAGCGCATTTTTTAAGAATTAAAAAGAATGTGCTATTGGCCCGTATGAATAAAATGGAGAATATGCTTATACTTGTGTGAAGGAGCACTTCCAAGTATTTACTTTGAATTTTTCAAGTATAAGCATATGCTCCCTTTTATTTATATGGGTCATTGTTTGCATTTTATCCGTCCGGACCAACTTCGGCCGTTGCGAACTACTTCTAGGGGAATGGTCCTAGAGTAATGTAATTTTTTTGTAGTAGGTACTATACCTTGAAGGTGTGCCAGACGGCCATCAAATTTCGCTGTCTAAAAGGGGCCCCCCCCCCACGAATTATTTCCTGAGATGCTGTTTTTGAAAGTAAAACGTGTATATCTTTTACATACAACAACCAATTGGTCTCAGATTTTGCATACGCATGCCTTTAGTGGTGCCAAGTTAAACTTTAGAAAATGGGGGGGGGGGGGGGGGTAAACACATGTTCTACCCTTCATGGTATTCTAATGAAAGGTCTCATTGAAATAAATTGGTTTGTACAAACTATAACTTTCCCCTGTAACTCTTTTTCGAGATCAGTGAGTGACGGAGCCGGGGGGGGGGGGGGGTTAAATATTAATTTTTTCTCTCATTGTATGTAACTGTTACCACCCTCCTACTGTATTCATATTTCAACCTTATCGTCTTTGCTATACATCTTTGTGTAAAAAAATCACAATTTACTGCTAATAATAAAAATAAAGACTAATAACTAACTAAGACAACTATTTGCGGGTGGTCAAAATTGTTTAAACATGGTCGAGAATCACTGGATGCTGATCTCCGCCTAGGACGTGATCACTTCAGATATTGTTGAAAATACCAAGCGTTTGGTACTGGAAAATGCAAGACCAAAGAAGCGACAATTAGCAACCTCACTAGGAGTTTCAAAGAGTCTATGCAGTAGCACGTCCTAAGAAGTCTAAAGTAACTCCTTCTACAGAAAAATTAATGGCAACCATTTTTTAGGACTCTCGGTGGATATTATCAACGATCAGTATAAATAATAGTCTGATAAAATACCATTGGTCCACGCTGTTTTTAAATAAATGGCAGCAATGCAGAGACTTGTTATAACCAGCAATGTGTTCCCAACTTTTCCTGTGATTTATACTCGGCGATCGTTTAAAACTGAGGATTATTTGGATTTCGGGTGAAAAATTTTTGGAGTATTGGACCGGGAGTGTCAAATCTGACAAATATAAACTATAATGTGTTGTTATAATACAACCTATAAAATATACAGAAATGTGCTCCAAATGCTCAACTATAAAAAGCCAAGAAGTATGATAGTTTTTAGCCTTGACGATACAAAATTGAAAAGTTATTGTAGTCATCCCCTGCTGATAGCGTTAGCTTAAATTAATTCCAGTAATTACTTTAGAGTTTCTTCCTGACGGAAATTGGAAATCGTGCGTCGGAAAATTGAACACAAACGACTATAGGTGATCACAATGCGCACGAAATTAGTTTTTCATTATGTACTCTGACCATGATAACTGAAATTTTGAACAGTGGAGATAACCGGACGCTCCATACTCCGTGATTAGATTGCAAAACAAAGTGCGTGTTTATATTGCCAACAAATGCACCAAAAGAGGAAGTTTCAAAACTGTATCTATCGCAGCATAAGATAGTTACGTT